TCATGAGAGACAGAGAGAGAGAGAGAGGCAGAGGGAGAAGCAGGCTCCCAAGGAGCAGGGAGCCCGATGCGGGACTCGATCCCAGGACGCCGGGATCATGACCTGAGCCGAAGGCAGACGCTTAACCATCTGAGCCACCCAGGCACCCCACTGTTGTTGGATTCTTAAAGGAATAACTTGAACCCTAATGTTTCTACTTTTTTTTTTTAATATGTGGACAATGAGCTCCATAGAAAGGAAATAGTAGAATAGAATGGGTAAGAGCATAAACCTGCAACCAGACTTCCAGGGTTAAAATCTCATCTCCACAACTTATTGAGTCTGATTTGGGAGGAGCTGCTGACCATTTAGTCTCAGTTTTCTCATCTGTAAAATGGGTTAATAATTGTCCCTATCTCAGAGTTACGGTGGGTTAAATGAATTACTAGATGAGGGGTTTCTTTTAAAAAAATTCAGTGGGCTTAACTGGATCCCGGGGTCTTAATTGGTGCAACGATGAAAGGACAGCTATGCAGCTATGGGGGCAAAGGTGAGGCAGTGACCCGTGGGGGCAGGTCATGCACTGGGCAAGCCAAGGGCAGTAGAGGCTGCGGGGGTGGGGATGGGTTCTGGGCACTCACACGTGGCCACCCTGGCGCTGACGGGAATGCTCTTCTTGTTTTCCAGGATGGCAAAGACGCGGATAAAGTACTCCACCCCAGGCTCCAGCTCCCGGATGGTGGTGGACGTCTGGTCCCCAGGCACGCGGAACTGCATTTCCAGGCCGTCCTCGTGGGTGGGTGTGTACATGACCAGGTACTCCGTGACCCGCATCTCGTTGTCCCAGGCCAGGTTTACGGTCTCTTCCGTCACTTCTGTCACGATGAGGTCTTTGGGAGGGGACACTGGCAGGAGGACGAAAGGACAGCTTGGGTCAGGTGGTGTCAGTAAGGTCCTCTATAAATTCTCTCTCTAGGCTGCTTCCCTTCACTTGTCCCCTCCATTACCAGTCACAGAGCCCTAAAATCCAGCTTCCATTTCCTAAAATGAAAAACTCATCAAGGACCTTCTGCTATGATCCAACTTGAAAACCTTTGGTGACCTTCAGGCTAAAGTGCTGAGTCTGCAGTGTGGCCGTCAGGCTTCTTTGTGACCTGACCCCTCCGACTTCTCTACTCCCTGGACCTTAGTTCAGATTCAGGCCATTTGCATGGGCACAGGAAGCCTGAACTTGGCTCCGTGCTCTGAACTTGAGGTCATACATCGTTAGTGCTGGAAAGGTATCTGGGGCTCATTTGGTCCCATTCTTTCATTTTCTAGATGTGAGAGGGGCAGAGGGACTGGCCCAACTTTGTTTATCTCATCAAATTTGGGACTCACACCTCCTCCCTGCCAGCCTGGTGTTCTTTCCAACCAGGCTTCCCTGGTTGGAACACATTATTTATTCATATCAATGATACCTTCAATCGGGGCAGAAATTCTCTATTACAACAGGTATAAGTCTGGATGGATGAGAGGAGTACAAAGAAGACCCTCAGTGAACATGAGCATTATCGTTCTTTGTTGTATTTTCACTCAATCCATGTTTATTGAGCACTTACTGTATACTGTGCCTTGTGCTGTCAGATTAGCGCTCCTTGAAGGAGCTCATAATCCTCGGGATCGAAGACAGTTACGAATAATGAGTTAAGAGATGGGTCCACCTCGTAAGTGATTAATTAGCATTTACTCTCTGAGTGTGCATGTAAAACAGTTTGTTTTAGGTAATCTCACTGTCCATTCAATTGAGCTGAATTTTTGCTTCCCTCCAAATAGAGAGATTTAGGTTATTTTTGGTTCCGTGTCAGTGGGGAGGAGATTGAGAGGGCTCATATTTAGCAAAAAGGCTGTCTTCATTTCATCTACCTCACCACGGGTGTCACTGGGTGTTACACTCGGTAACCAGATGGGTAGACTCAATAACAGCTCTAGAATGTACGAGCTAAGTGTTCCTGGGACAATTCTATGACCCCCCCCTGAGCCTCCGAGCCTTCAACAGGTAGCCCTGTGACAGGTGAATAACCAAGGGCCCCTGCTAAGGTGTGTGCGTGCGCGGCGCACGTGGGCAGGGGTAATAGGACACCTAGCTCTCCAACCCGCACCAGGGCCCGCTCCTGAACCAATGGTCAGTGGACTCACCGTCGGAGCAGTCGTCCCCGGCGTGGCCCTCGCTGCAGATGCAGCGGCCCTCCACGCACTGGCCCCAGCCGCTGCAGCCGTTGGGGCAGGAGCGCCGCCTGCAGTCGGGGCCCGCGAAGCCCTCCTGGCAGACGCACTGCCCATCCTCGCAGCGGCCCCGACCGTGACAGTCGCCGGGACACCTCCGCTCCTTGCACGCGGCGCCCATGAAGCCCTCGTGGCACACGCACTGCCCGTTCACACAGCGGCCTTGGCCATGGCAGTCGTCGGGGCACGCGAGTTCCGCGCAGTCGGGGCCGGTGAAGCCGTGCTCACACTCGCACCGGCCGTCCGCGCAGCGGCCGCGGCTGCTGCAGTCCCCGGGGCAGCGCAGGTCCCGGCAGTCCTCCCCGGTGTAGCCGTCGTCACAGACGCACATGCCGTTCACGCAGCGGCCGTGCTGGTGGCAGTCGCTGGGGCAGCTCATGTCACTGCAGTCGTAGCCCTGGAAGCCCGGCTCGCACGCGCACTTGCCCAGGACGCAGCGGCCCCGGCTGTGACAATCGTTGGGGCACCGCAGCTGGCCGCAGTCCTCCCCGGTGCGGCCCTCGTCGCACACGCACTGCCCGTTGACGCAGTGGCCGTGGCCGCTGCAGCCGCTGGGACACTGGAGCTCGCCGCAGTCGGTTCCCGCGAAGCCGGCGTCGCACTCACACCGCCCGTCCGTGCAGCGGCCGTGCTGGTGGCAGTCGGCGGGACACCTCTTCTCGCTGCAGTCGGGACCGGCGAAGGCCGCCTCGCACACACACTGGCCCTGCTGGCAGCGGCCGTGGCCCGAGCAGGCGTTCGGGCAGCTGAGCTCGCCGCAGTCCTCGCCCGTGAAGCCCTGCTCGCAGTAGCAGGTGCCGTTGACGCAGCGGCCGCGGTCGAAGCAGTCGTTGGGGCAGATGAGCTCGCCGCAGTCCTCGCCCGTGAAGCCGGCGTCGCACACACACTCGTTCTCCACGCACCGCCCGCGGCCGTGGCAGTTGTTGAGGCACAGCGGCTCGGCGCAGTCGTCGCCCGCGAAGCCGTCCTGGCACACGCAGCGGCCGTCCACGCACCTGCCGTGCTCCTCGCTGCACGCCACCGGGCACACCTCCCGGCTGCAGTCGGCCCCCGTGTAGCCTTCGAAACACACGCAGACCCCGCTCACGCACTTGCCCTGGTCGTTGCAGTCGCCGGGGCAGGCCAGCTGGCCGCAGTCCTCCCCCGTGAAGCCCTCGTCGCAGACACACTGCCCGTCCAGGCACTGGCCTCGCAGATGACAGTTGCCAGGACATTCGGGCTCTGAGCAGTTGGGGCCTTTCCAGCCGGGTTCGCACACACAGCCGCATCCTTCGGCGCTGAAGTTCCCGTGGCCGCTGCAGAAGGGCCTGGTGTCCAGGCGGCCTGCAACGAGAGTGCAGAGGCTGACCCCTGAGCCTAAGCGGCTGCTTTCTCTGTTACCACCTGCCCGACGCAGATTCCAATGCAGCCGCAAGATGGTGGCCCCCTCAGCTCCCATCTGGCTTGAAAACTAGTGGCTTCATGTGTGAAATCAGAGGCAACTGACATCCCATTAGAGTAGGTGCGAATTCTTAACCTGTCCTCTCAAATGTAAAGAGTGTGTACTTACATGTGTAGCTGTGTGTGTGTGCGTGTGTGTTTTCCACCCACCCCCCAACCCCTCCTGGGAGAGGATCCATAGTTTTTATCGAATTTTCAAGTATTCCCATGACCCCCGTGATTACAAATCATTGCCTTGTGGAATGTATTATGCTGGGCTACATAGTTTCTCTTGTACCTCGCCAAGGTCAGGCACATAAGAGAGTAATTGTTTCACACAAGAAATATTTGTTGAACTGAACTCAATTCTGATTCTGGCTCAGTAGCTGTGCTGCATTTGGAAAGGGAGTTAGATGCTTTGGAGATCCGTTTCTTCATTGGTCAGGTGGGACCAATCGCCTGCTTCCCTGGGGTGTATCGGGGTTAAGTGAGGACATTACAGACCTACTGTTGTTTTCATTGTGATCTTCTCTTGCAGTTTTTTGGGTTGACTCAAGTCGGTATGTGGGTTTACGTGACTGAACTTTCTGATTTTCCATTATTGAAATGAGGCAGCATAGGAATGGCTTTCTGATTCTGTCGGTACAGCTTATAATGTGGCTTCACCCCCACAACACTCATGTGCGTCTAGCTTTTTCCCTCCCCATCCTGAAGGCTGCAGGGATGGGTGAATCTGAGGAAGACATGGTCAGGGCTGACATGACTCCATCTCTTTGAAGTCTACATCGTGTGTTGGCTCAGCTTGCAGGAGTGACTGGTGTAGTCTCCACGGAGCCAAGGAGAAGAAACAAAGCTCACTCCGTTTTCTCTGTACCCAAATACAGTTGTATTACTATGTTTTATCTCCTTCCTAACAGCAGGGAAGAAGGCAATTAAAACAAATAGTTTGAAAGGTGAGAATCATACGTTTTCATGTATGGTAGCCACTAGACACATGTGGCTACTAAACAATTGGATTGTGGTTAGTCTGAATTGAGATTTGCTATAAATGTCAAATACATACGGGATTTCAAAGACTTAGTTTAAAGAAAGGAATATAAAATATCCATTAATAAGTTTTGTGTTGATCCCATGGTGAAAAGTGGATAATTTGGTTACACTAAGTTAAATAAAATAATTGATTAAAACTATTTTCACCTGTTCCTTTTTCATTTCTTTAATGTGACTATTGGAAGAGTTAAGAATACATATCTGGCTCACGTTATATTTCTCCTGGACAGCACTGCATTAAACAACTATTTCAACTCATTCTTTAGCATTAATTCTATTGTGTAACTCCCATCTGCATTTTGCCAGGAAGTTGATGGAAATGGAAGATAAAGTAATCTGTGCCTAAAGAAAACATTTTCTCCCCCCTTGGACACCTAGAGCATGTCCTATAGTCCTCTCCACCTACAATGATTAGGTCTACTCTTGAAATAACTTATCAAAGTGCTTTCTGGTCATTTTGTCAGGGTGGCAGAAATAAAGATGTTCAGCTCTGATTTGAAGCTGCCAAAACTCCTATAGCCCTGTCAAGTCTAGGCAGTGAAGATGAAGACAATTCTAAAGTGGCAAAATCCCTGAGAAAAAGATGCACAGGATACAGGTTATCACGGGGTGGGGGGGGGGGGGGGGGGGTGTGGGGGGAGCGTGAGCTCTGGAGACCACAAGCCCACTCAGAGATCCTTTCTCTTATTACTCTTGGTGTCTTTCTGTGCCAATTGGTTAACTTCTTTGAGTCTCAGCAGTTAGATCTGTAGAATGGGAGTATTAAACCTTATCTCAAAGGGTTGTTGGAAGGGTTCAATCAGGTAATGAATTACAGTGCCTGATGCATGAAAGAGGGCTCAATGTATATTGTGATGATGGTTGTTGCTGCCATAAACTGAAACGTTTTTCCCAGTTCCCCGACTTTGCATTACCACAGGCAGCGCTGTGTCTTTGTGAGAACACCAGGGTGTGAGATACTGTGGTTCAAGTCCTCACTCGATCACTTGTGGCAGGACCGTGAGGAATCCCACCCTCCTTCTGGGCCTTAGTTTTCCAGCCTGGACAGTGATGTGATGAGGCCATATTAGCACCTTTCAGAGAGTGATCTTGGGTCAGGAATTTCATGATACGGTTCATAGGTTTTGGGGTAGAGACTGTGTAGATCTCACAGTCAAATAAATGTCAGAAACTGGTCATTAAGGTGAAACAAGGTTTTTCCAAGCAAGGCTTCTCAGAGGTCTAGAAACTCCTCTGAGAAACATTTGTCACCAAGACTCTCCAAGAGCAGAACAGAGATGGTTTACATTCTGCACATTTATTTGACCATAAAATCTCTTCTCAGTGAACACTTCGTGAGGCCAGCTCCCCGGGGAACCTGTTTTGGAAACAAAGTGGCGGATCTGGCCGTGCTCATCATTTCTCGTATCTGGACAGCGAGGGGCTGGGCGTACCTTCCGCGGGCTGGAGACAACAGCTAGCTCCTGTGGTGCACTGCTCCCGCAGGGAAGACACCAGATTCTCCAGATCCTCCAGTCTGCTCAGAAGCTCCTTGACATCAGGAGCCGCGGCGCAACCGCAGGCCCGGCGAGGGATGTTGATGCGGTGTGTGAAGATGATCTGGTTTTCCCCGTCGCCCGTGCGCTCCTGGAAGCTCTCGCTGGGCTCTGATGGCGGGGCCAGGTCCTTCTCCCCACTGGCTGATTCCAGATCCACGGAGCACTGGGACCCAACAGGCAGCTTGATGTTGTAGACGTGGTTAAACACCACCGGCTGCTGGTCCTCCGGCAGAGTGACATTGACCCCGCTCTGTCGCTTGTGCCGGATGACTTTCTTGAGGACCCCACCTTCGGTAGTGAGGGTGAGCGAGGCTAGGAGGATGCCCGCCAACAGCCGGGTCACGGCCCCCATGGCGGAGGTGGGTTTGGCTGGGGCGTTTCTGTGCACTCACTCCTAGGGTGTCTCAGTCTCAGGCAGAAGTGAGGGTGTGAAAGCACAGAGGAGAATCCAGATCCGTGTGTTCCTGATCTTCCCGAAGGAATTCTCTTCTGCGAGGAAAGGAGGGAAAGCAAGCTTGTTAGTATCCACTGCTAATCGACTCTACTGAGTATCATCATTCCAAGTGAATTTTGATGTTCTATCTCCTGCGTTTGAAGCTCTTCTGATACTCCTTCAGTATTCACTGTAGTGTTGATACCAACTAGTCTCTAAAAGAATATTGCCATCTTGAAGGAATGATTTCACTCACTTTTCCAACTTCCGGAAATACAGGGAGACGGCAGGGAATACAGAAAAGGGCAAAACTTTGGAATAGTGTAGACCAGACCTGGATTTGGATCTCAGCTCTAACTCTGTGCCTTTGGGTAAGTCATGTAACCCTTCTTTGTCCTATTTCTCTTTCTGTATAGTGAATGGCTAATGTTGGAGTTAAAATAATGATATAAGTAAAAACATAAGTAGAAATCTTTCATAGATTTACGAATCCCTTCAATATTTACTCAAGCCCACTGAGTGAGTCATTGTAATGCTATGAGGCCATAGTCGCAGTAGATGTGTTCAGTAACTCCTGCCTCTTATTATTGGTCCTCCAGTCCATATTTAGCAGCATCTGCTGGTTTCCCTCCACTCTGGGAGACAGAGGTTCAAATGATGAACGTGCTAGAAGGCACGGCGAGCTTTAATTCCAGCCCAGCTTCTTAATTGTTGTGTGGCCATTGGAACAATACTCTACCTCTTTGAGTCCCAGTTTCTCTTCTCCTTATTTCTAAAACCTTAAAAAGTCAAGTTTTTTGGAGAATCTGACAGAATGTTTCTAAACCAGTTGTCCAAACTATGATCGAGGGCAGGAGAATGTCCATGAGCCTCTGAGGTCTTCTCCAATCTACAAGTACTTACACTATTCTCACTGAGTGTTATGGACTCAATCCTGTCCTCTCTTCCCCCCAAATTCATATATTGAAGCCCTAACCTCCCATGGGACTGTATTTGGTGATAGGGCCTTTAGAGAGGTAATTAAGTTTAAATGAGGTCATAAGAGTGGGTCCCGAATCTCTTTGTGCTAGTGTCCTTAGAAGAAGAGGATCACCATGAGACAGAACTCTCCCTCTCCCTCTCCCTCTGCTCCTGCACAGAGGAGAGGTCATGTGAGGACACAGTGAGAAGGCAGCCATCTGCAAGCTAAGAAGAGAGGCCTCACAAGAACTGAATTTTCCAGCACCTTGGGTGGTGGAATTCTATCCTGTAGAACATGTAAGAAAATAAGTTTTTGTTGTTTAAGCTAAAATAACAGTCTGTGATATGTTTCTATAATAGCCTGAACAGACTAATACACTGAGTTTTCCACAATAATCAGAGTTCTGTGGAGATAGAAATAAACATAAGACTAAGTGCCTACCCTCGGAGGCCTTAACAATAGAATTATAAATAAAATGGAATCACACATTCAATACTTAAGGAACAAAGCAGGAAGGAATGCAAATTACTGATTTTGTGGTATGGAATTTGAAAAAAAATGAAAAGAATTGTCAAAGAGTGGTAGTTGGAAAGGACAGAATTCAAGCTGAGCCTTAAAGAGTGAAAGGATTAGATACCAACAGTATATGGAGGAGATTATGCTATTGTGAGGCAGTTCTTACTTGGCTAAATTGTCTTAGTCATCTCTCTTATGACTATCAGTATGGACAATCAAGGCAACAGAAGCAAGGGCTGTTGTCGAAGGTGGTTGAGAAATTTTTGAGTAGATAAGAAGACATGGCTAAATCTTAGATGATTATAATATTGACCTAATATGCTCTGGATGCATGTGGGAATGGTATATACAGGGAATGAAGTCATTCATACCACTCTTTAGTTAGAAAATACACCAGAATATAGTTCAAGAAAATAGTTGAGAGGTATTTGGTTTTTAATCAGTCACTTTGCAAATTGGCGTTTTCCTATGCCCATGCTATTCTTATACTTTCTCCTTCAGAGTTAGCTACGTATGTCAATTAGATTCAGTATTTGGAATACTTATCCTATAGAGGTTCTCTAACTTTTTTTTTTTTCCAGAAAGATTTTAGCCCAACGATCAAATGCATCAACATGATCCCACGTGATTGCCTCCTGCATGAGAACAGAAAGTCTTTGCGAAATCTGGAGAGGGATTATGGCAGGGAACACTGAACTGAGAAACATTTCTGTAGGACTGAGCACGGGTCTGGGGACCTAGAAAGCACTGGCTATGTATTTAATCAAGAACTTCCTATCCACACATCCCCATCACATCCTAATTATATTCATACTTGATATTTTACCAACTATCCATGTAACAGCTACATAGGGCGTCTACTCCCTGGTTAGGGAAAAACAAACAAAACCCCAAAACAACAGCAACAACAAAAAAGGGAAACAAACACTTCTTTTGAGTATGCTTTTTTATTCAAATTAGTTTCCTAAATAAGAATGTGTGAATCTGCAATGTAGGCCAGCGCATTGAATAAAAATGATTATGAAGAAGAGAAACTTGGTAAGTTCTTTTCTTTTAAACCAGCATAGCCCATCTTATTTGTTTACTGGACAAATATTCATTAATTGCACACTCTATTGCAATCACTTTAACTCTCTTTGCCTTCCACAAAGTCCTTCCTTCTACCCTCTTTCCATCAATTCTTAGCTTTCTCTTTTCTTTCTTTTTTTTTTTTTTTATGAGCAAGGGCCATGGGCCAAGCTTGAAATGCTTTTGGACTTTTATCCAACACTTTTTTGTGTGTTGCTAAATGACTTAAATTTCCATCTAAAAGGCCATTAGAGCTGCTGGTTGAGATGCTGAGGCAATGAGTCTAGGGTAATAATGACCAGAGTATGGGTTGAGTGAGGGTTTTGCATTGCCCTATGTAAGAGACTTACACTGGCACAGCCAAATGCTGCATTGTTTGGTGGAAGGACATGTGATTCTTGAGGGTTGTGTATTTCCCATTGGCTCATGGTGGTCTGAGGGCAGGTGGATATTTTTTGTACTTTGGAAAAGACCCATTACATCTTCTGTGTGGAGGAAAGTGCCCAGGCTTTAGAATTAGACATACCTGGGTTCAATGCCACTCACCGGCTCTGTGACTTTGACAAGTGACTTATCTTCTCTAACCGTGACCTTATTTGTAAAATGTGAGTCGAAGTCTTTCCAAAGGGAATCGTGGATTAGAAATCATTATAGAAAGCATCCAGCACAGTGACAGGCCCATAGTAGGCACACATTAAAAAGTAGCTGCTATTTTGTTGCACTCCTAACAACAAAACGTAGCCATGAGCCCAGGCCAATAGCTTCCCTTTGCTTAAGCTTGAGCTTGACCTCCGCATTGAATCCTGTCTTAAACTCTGTAGCAACCTGGATCTAGATGAAAGAGGCACTGTAGAAATTACTGATGGGGGAGGAGGTAAACCTTATGAAGATAAGTTTTCTAGAACTGGAAATGCCAGAAAGGAAAAAGGGAGGAAATAATAACCTTTAAAAATGTAAAGTATTCTCATGCAGACAACTGGCTGGTTAATGTCTCCCTTGAGGATAGACCTAAGGATAATTATTTTGGATTGTAGTTTATGATAATTTAGGTTAAACATGAAGGGTCATGTTCTGACAGTAGGGCTTTTAAAATTTCAGAATTAACGACTTATTCTATAGAGACTCCTTAAAAAGCACAAGCAGATTCTTATCTTTATAAGAAGTGATCAGGCAATAGAAGGTCTGGAAACTATCTTGTAGGAGGAATGAGTGTGGACTGTGTGATTATCCTGTAGCTGAAAAAGCCAGGGTTGAGAGGGACAGGATGACCACGTATAAATCCTAGGGAAGCGGGAGCTGGCTAGTTCCTTGTGTCCTCAAAGGACAGAACAAGGGCTGATGCGTGTTTATGTTGGGGGTGGGGAGGAGGGTTGGTTACAAGAAGCCAAATTTCAGCACAAGAGGAGAAATATTTTTCTACTTGGAACTCTCCAACAGAAAGGGCTTTTTTGAGCCCTTTATAGCACGGTCCAAGGCACTGGAATGTAGACTAGTGTTGAAGAACATGGCTTCTGTAGACACACTGTCTTGGGTTTGAGTCACTGTTCAACTTTCTCTTTCTTGGGTAAAATATTATCTACCATCTTAAACCAGAGTCACGTCATCATTAAAATGTGATATAGGGGTTCTCAGAAAATTGTTGTGAAAAGTGCACGAGATAATGTGGGTCGTAGGGACGGCACAGCCTTAACAGAAGGAGCTCATCAAAGGGAAGCTTTTGTAATGATAAGTATGGCCTTCAATTAATATCTTTTCTAGAATTTTCTTTCTTCCAACTCTTGAAATCTACCTTGGCATATACAGATCTGCTTTTTAAGCAAGGATGAAAGTTCTGCAGTGAAGCAGAGAGTTCTCTTTCAGAGTTCCCAGACAAATATGCTTTGGAAGATATGGATGTAGATATAGATCCAGGTCTGCCTATGTTTTATGATAAGATTAAAGGATCTAGTTGAGTATCACGGTTTGTAAAAGAGAACAGCAGGAAGAGACACAGCCTTTGTACTGGCTCAACATGGATCACTGGGGTTACACATTTAGGACAAAAGGGCTGTTTCCAAACTTTGCATGTCGCCTTGCTCTTTATCCTGTCTCAGCATATATTCTGGGTGCAGAAAAGTAGTGCAGAGCAGACTCTGCTTTGTATCTTTATCAAAAGCAATTTTTAGGTCCAAATGAACTGCTGTGCTTTTTTTAAATTTTTTTGTGAGACTCTTTAGGTCCCTCCATTCCTGTTAGTTTCTCAAAACAAAATTAATCTGGAGAGGAAAAAAAAATACCATAAACATTTCCCCATGAGGTAGAAGGTTCAAGAAGAGGTAGAAAACTTTGAATTCATTGGTCTAGAGCTGCAGTGTCCAATATGGCAGCCACTAGTCACAAGTGGTTGTTAAAATGAAAATTAAATTAAAATGGAAAACAATGAAAATTTCCATCCTCAGTTGTACTATTCACAGTCAAGTGTTTTACAGTGGCATGTGGCTAATGACTACAATATCAGTGCAGCTAAA